ATCCCAAGAGTGCTTTGCTGAGGTGATGTACATCCTGACAGGTGTCAGTGCTACCAGGCCATAGTACCTAAAACGCAGCATCTTCAGTATCAGCAGCAGGATATACAGCTAAATATTGACTCTGAGATAAAAAATACCCGAGATAAAAAATACCTATCAACACCAGGGACCAGCACTTATGACACTGTCTCACATTATGCTCAGCCCAAGCCCAGGGGCATGGTTCTGCGATCATGTGTCAGGCTACTGGAGCAACATAAAGCTTACAGGGACAGCGTAATTGCTGATACAAAAGAGTATAAAAATAAATGACAGAAGTTGCAATAAAGCATATCGGTTATTTATGCATTCAGTACAAGCCCTACACAGGCGATGGAAATTGGGAGGAGTGGGGGTGGAAATTATAGGGTAAGCACATCTAGGGATAGTCTACTCAGGCAATTGACTGAAATCTGGCAGTATGGCTCTCCCTGGATTCCAGAATCAATACCTCATTGCAGTAAGAGGCTCTCAGAAGTGCCTGCATTAGTTAGCGCTAAAGCCATAGCTTCTAAACATTTTAAATGGGAACGAACCAGCCCCTTTTCGTTGCCATGCCATCGTTTTCCTTTTTGTCACCAACATTTCTTTGCCTCCCCACTTCTCCTTCCTATAGCTGGCACCCTATTGCCACGTTACTATGTTTCAAACTACACTCAGAAAAGCATCTAGTGAACTAAGTGATTAATTTCATATAGTTTTAACCAAAGAGGGGTTAACTGGCATAGGAACAAGCTGCTGGAGAAAAAGCAGATAAGGGAAGTCAAAACGGCTTGCTTTGGGAACAGCAAAACAGTAGCGTAAAGTTTGTGATGTTGGTATGTTATAACACGATCCACAGCTCTTCCTCACCAGCAGGGAGGCCAACATTTTGCGTATAAATTTAAATCCAGCTCGCATGCATTGAGCAAACAGTATTATTTCAAGCCTTTGCTACATCTGCATTTCCAGGACAGAAGGAAACATATGCCAGCGTCTCTAGTTCCAGTTCCTCCCAGTCAATGCACCATCACTGTGAGGCTGATCCCGAAACAGAGGAAGAGCCAAGAGCTTGGGAAGAACAGTCTTAAACTACTGCTGGAAGATTCCTAAAAGGCTTCAACTGTATTTCTTACCCAAGACCAATAATCCCTCATCCTACATATTTGCTTTCCAGGACACATTCCCACTGCCCAAGACACTGAAGTTTGACTCCAGAAGAACCAGCTAGTGACTTGCCTCTGACCTGAAACAGAGCAAATTATGGGAAAAATACGGGAGACATGCAGGTACAGAGTTGCTTCTCCAGGAAAAGCACGCTGTCAGTGAGACCGGGCATCAGTACTGAGAGGTTTGTCTGCTTCAACCCCATCACTGAAGTTTGTAGAGCAACTTGTTTTTTAGTCTTTAGCACTCAGCCATATTCAGTAATCCAGAGCACAGGCACTGCTGACTTCACTAGTCAGGTTATCCCCAGTGTCTGCGTTAGTCAGCCACAGAACACAAGTCTGCTCTTCGAGATGGCAAGAGTAAATTGGGAGATTACAAGTATTACACTACCTGGCAAGTAGTGTGCTTTCGTAAAGATTATACAGGATATTCTACACAACTATGCAGAAGACTAAACATAGCCATAAAAGCCTGTAACAAGCAACTGCTGCCTCACATTTGTTCATTTACATGTTAGGGCAGACTCTGCACACACTATATTCCCTTTAATGAACATGATGACTGTTAATCTTTAAAGACTTTTACAACACAGACTTCATTTTACACTAAGTAAAAATGCTGAATAATCAAACTTCATTTTACACTAAATAAATACCCCAAATACTCAATATTCTGCTTGACACGAAGAGTATCTGTAAAACTTCAGACAAGTAGTTGATAAAAATTCATCCGCATGGAATTACATTGCTTTCATAAACGTGAAATTCTAGGACATATTCAGATACAGCGACAGCGGAGCAAAAAGCACCTATTTATCAATCAAATGAATATCTGGTAAGGGGTAGGCAGACTAGGTGCAGGTTTAGCCCGAGATAAACATTAAAGCGACTGAAAAGAGATTTCTAACAGAACAGCAAATATAACTGCTGTTCTAACACTCTTCTCTTTGCTCATTACAACTGTACAGTGCAGCAAACATTTAAGTTTCTGTGTTTCATCAATAAATCTCGTTTACCTTTAAAATCTTTCATCAATAGATCTCCTTGATTCCTCCTAAGCTTCCTTAGCCCTTTTCCCACAGTTGCATTCACCTCCTTTGTAAAACAAATAAAATAAATCAAGCCCTCTTCTCTGAACTTCAGATACCCAAAATCTTATACAGGTCAAAGACGTTTTTGTTACCACACCCACATTTTTTAACCTCTCAGTGCCCTTTGATCAAGGGCTGTTGGCGTAGGAAGAGCTTTGCGACAGCTGATACTATCTGCAGCACTAACAGCAGAAACCTGAACCATCCCCACTGCCAGCTGACACAACACTGGGTTTCTGCAAGGCGCTGCAAAACTTTTAAAATAATTCTAATCAGCATAAAAATGGTCCAAATGGGAAAAGATGAAAATAAAACCCTTGCTCTGAGAATTAAACATTTCAGGTTTTCCCTGGTGCAAGAATAAAAATCAAAGGAAAACAAAAAAAGAGGCCGTCATCACTGCAGAACCATTACAGCAAAGGAGGTACTGTCCTAGTATCTAACATAATGTGGTAAGAATTTTAATATTGTGCACAGCAAGCCTCAACACATGGGTGACATTAGTATTATTACTGAACAAAAAAAGCAGAAAAAAAGCACAGAACACTGATGTCTCCCCTTCGCTTTTCAAGTGTGTATTTTCTGTATTCATACACCATACTTACCCCTAGAGTATTTTGAGTATATTTTCCTACTGCTTGCCAGGGAAAAGAGCATACACAGGACCAAACCTCTAAAGAACTAGCTTAGATCTTCTTAATACAGCCACCACCTTGCTGGGAGCTGAAGAAGTCAAGGTCAAATAAAAGTTCCTTGTATGTAGTGCAAGCAAAAAGGTTTGTTACAGTTCCTACTTGTGGAGTTTGTTAATTGCAGACTGAACACATCTCTCACACAGGAGAAGGCTCACCTTTCTAATGTTCCTTTCCTTGAGTGATGCATTTCACCATATAAACTTCCTCTCTTTATGAATATTCAGGCTCCAGCAAAGTGAAAGAGGAAATTTGCAACAGTGTAAAATAATTACTTCCAAGTTTATACTCAAATGTTCCAAAGAATAGTTCTCGGATATAATAAAACTAATTTAGTTTTATCAAATCACCTTCCATTTCACATCAAATCTACAGTCCACATCATAGAAGCTCATAACCAAACCTGAGGAGAAAGTCAATTCCACAACTCTCAAGCCTGTTCATGTTCAACTTTCTTTTACAGAAAGATGTTAAGAATGTAGAAGTAGTCTCTGAACAAACTAAATTTCACTTAAATGCAATGGGCTAGGCTTCTAGAGATACTTATATAACAGGTGCGTTTTCTTCCAGGAATTCTCTTGCTGTGTACCCTGAACTAACATTTGCAATAATCAAAATAGACCTTGCACAAGAGATTTTATGTCTGTTCAAGTCCCCATATTTTAATGAGACACAAAAGCCAAATATCTTTGCAGAGAACAAACAACTGACAAAGACTCTTAGATTCAACCCAAAATGAAGTATTAAAGAGCTCGCTTCTACAGCAGCAACTTGATTCCAGAAATTTCAGTTTTTACAGCAGTCACCACTTTTTATATTTTGATAAAAACTATGAGACATGGGAACACTTGTCTTAAAGTGTATAAAAACGGTGAGTAACCACAAATATAGCCTCTTTAAGCTGTGTGTTTCACGATTTCTGTGTTTCAAATGGAGTCTGCATTGATCACAAAACCCACACCTATTTTAGAGACACTGATGAGCAAAATTATTTAAACATTGCAAGACAATCAGTACAGATAGGAAGCATTTTAACTGGTAAATGAAGGATTCCAAGTTTCTCCTTTAACTGCACAGCACATAACAGAAAGCACTGCAATATACACCACAGCTTTTGCTGTAAGATTTTACATTGGAAATTTATAGAATCATAGAACAGTTTCAGCTGGAAGAGACCTTCAAGATCATCGAGTCCAACCTTTTCCCAGCCCTACCAACACCACTAAACCATGTCCTCAAAGGCAACATCCACCCATCTCTTAAACACCTCCAGGGATGGCGACTCAACCACCCCCCTGGGCAGCCTGTTCCAATGGCTGACAACGCTCTCAGTGAAGAAATTCTTCCCAATATCCAACCTGAACCTCCCCTGGTGCAACCTAAGGCCACTTCTACTTGTCCTATCACTCACCACTAGGGAGAAAAATGTTGAATTCTCTCACTAGGGAGAAATCGTTGAATCTATATTGTTTTCCATCACTGTATTTTAAAGCCTAAATTAATTATCTGATTATTATCAAATGTAAGTTGTAGCCAGCTTAACTCCCTTATGTCGTTATATTTGCAAACAATTAGATACTAGATATATTAGACATATTAGATTGAAACATTAATAACAGTATTGTGCTGTATATTTAATTCTTTTCAGAGAAATACCTACACTACTTAGTCTTTAAAATCACTGTTGAACACTCAGTGTGGCTGAGCAGAAGGAGTGTAGACCCAAGAGCTACTTCAAGGGTTACTGACACAACTAATAACAGATATTCAAATTATTTTCTCCCCAAATTCATCCCGAACAGGATTCCAAAACACTCCCTCTCTGTCCTCTTCACTTCATTACTTAATCCTGTGCAAATGAAGAAATTATCTTTTATATGTTCCTTTCCCATGAGATTGAATGTTTTCAGAGAAGTTTACTGTGTACAGCCTTTCGAGTTTTAAATATATACCAACAAAAATCAATGTGGTTACATACGAGCAATCACAAAGATTATCAGCAAGTGAGAACAAGGCGAAGTCACATTCTTTTACAACTTTGCCTTGAAATTCCCAGAAAGAAGCTTCTTAAGCATTTCAGTATTTTTTCCTTCTGGTGGTGAGGGCCATCTGTCATGATCTGAGGAAAACAAATAAGACAACACACTTGATTGAGAAACTAAGCATTTTACTTTTTTGTCCTCCCATTGCCCAACTTCAGTCCCTTGAAGGCCATTATTTTGTAGCCCATTTCTTACCGGGTATTTCTAGGGTATGGCTATATAAACTTTGGCCACCATCCACCAGCATGGTTATCCCAGTTATGTAAGAAGCAGCTGGAGAGAGCAGGAAGCACACTGCGGGAGAGATCTAACAGAAGAACAACACTTTTAATCTTTCTTAAACTGCTGGGAATTGTTCCTGTCAAAGACGCTTGTAAAAACTTTTACAGAAAGGACGTAGCAACATTTTCTGCTCGGTAATGAAAACCGTTAGCGGTCTTAAAGCCATCTTTCCAGCTACAAACATCAATGGCATAACCGACAAAGCCCAGTAAACTCTCAAAGATCAGCCTCAGATGCCAAAAATCAAACCAAGCAGTTGACCACTTTATCAAAGATGCATATTCCTGGTGCAAGAGAGCTAAGTACTTTTAAGATACACTTTTTTCACATTAATATTCATTCTTTAGTCCTCCCTGCTGGAAGTCAGCCTTCTCAGGAACTAATGTCTATTATGAAACACTTCAGCTGTAAGAGGCTTCTAAAATAAATTGTCAGTGTAGCAGTGACTACTGGTTAAGTCTCCCACTTGGCAGTACTATACATTACGACAAGCTTTTTTTTCCTTCTTAGTATTCTATTACAGTGCAAAATTAAGTCTTTTTTTTCTTGTCCTTATTATAAAGTGACTTCAAAATAGAGACAGCAGTAGAAATATTACAAATGTTCTGAAATTACCTCCTCAGGAACTGCTGACCTCTTGGCAGGAATCTTCGGTATGGTGTTTAACAACATCATTGTACCTTGTTCTCCATAGTTTGCAAGAGCAGTTTCTGAAAATACTGTTCCCTGTTTTCAAACAGCACAGTGACAATTACGTTTTCTTGCATATGTTTAAACCATGACCATTGTAAAATTGTGAAGTTGTCATTACTGGGATTTTCTGAGGGATTAAACTATTTGAACAGCACTTAAACACAAGTTTTTAAATTTAATGGAATAGCATACTTTATACAAGAAGTATAATTTGGCTGCTAGCCCCATCTCTATTCAAATGCAATAATTCAGATTATTCCAATTCTCCACTTCAGTAACTATAAAGTGTAGAGTATAAAGAAGAAATTAAAAGACTGTTTTGAAATCACAAGCATTTCATATTAGCTTACAGCAAAAAACTACAAAGCCGCAAGAACAAGTTCTCAACAGTTTCTTGTAATTGGTAAGAACGCTAGATTCATTTTATTGTGAATTATAGAAGCAGACAGTTTTCACAGGCAGAATTCAGACTCCCTCTACATATCTGCTATAGAAATAGAAAAAGGTGACTGTCCTTGCTCCGATGATTGTACAGTCTAGTTTTGATTTGAGAGGGAAGACAAATACAGCAACGGGAACACAGGGTTACATAGATTAGTTATGGCAGAACCTTTGAGACTCAAGCTTACATAAGATAACAAAATCTTAATTCATCCATGGAGAACACGCTAAGAATTCTCTCCTAAGATACCTGTGAAACGTGAGTGACTGTATCTTGGGAGCTAGGGAAGTAACTTACATGTGAAACTGGTTTTTTTAGAACGAGTATTTCCCTCTCTATGTACCCATTCCCTACATGTTGACTGTGCTCCTGTAAAGCTGTAACAGTTTTGTATGGTTACTGCAGACCTAGTGTGTCCATAAAAGTGACAGAAGGATATCACATATTACTGTAACAAACCTCACAAATAGTTCTTAACGAGCCAAACCACTGAAGCATTTGCTTATCAAAAACTTCTTTTGACATATGCTATAAAGTATAATTAGTATGATTCATTTAGTAATTAGCATGCCTGAAAAATACATTCACATAATGCTGTCTTAATTACTTACTTCCGCAAGACTTGATAAATCAGAAAAAAACAAATAAACAGGAAAACCAAGCCAGCAGACCTTAATGTTTAACAAGTCTCCAATTGAGCTGGGCCTCACCGAGGCTACGTTAAAAGCCACTACCTGAACGATCACCATACACCTGCCGTTAAGCATTCTGTGCCAAAGGAAGCAAGGCAGATGTTTTCGGTCAAGAACCACAAGAAGATACGCAGACATCCTACAAAGATTGTGGAAGGATCCCCCTAGGGACCGGTTAAACAAAGCTGCCAATTATACTGTGAAATAAGATAAATTCTGAATGCAGAAGGACAAAATTTAACTTTCATCTTTTGTTTTCAAATGTGCTAAGTAAATTGTGATTAAGAATGAAGATTACACAAATCACAGCAGATTGCATAATCTCAAATGTCAAAGCTTCTATAAAACCTCTACATTCGCCGCACCGTACACTAGAAAGTACAGATGCTCCTCCCATGCACTATTAAAACCAACTGCTACATGCTCCCTACTTCCTTGGAAATGTGGCAGGCATCATTTATCTGACCTGCAGAGTGGTTTCCCTTCCACATATATTTGATACAAAAAAATGAGAACACACACTTTTACATGTAATTTCTTTGAGGGAAGGCATTATCAGTGTAATGATAAGATCTAATTCCATTCCAAATAGCCTTTTTATGTTTAAAACTAATCTAACTTAACGTGTGAAAGACAAAATAAAAGACATTATGCGACACATTCAGAGATTTTCAAAATAATTTTGTAAACACAGGTGGAAACCATCAGCATATGTAAACTTCAACTAGAAAAATTTTGTGAACTCTGAAGAACTCAGAAACGATGCAATCATTACTGAAGCAAAAAGCATCTGGAAATTTTACGTCAAGGGATTGTAAAAAGGTCACCAACTCCTCCCCACTACTATTCCATTAAGCTAGGAAAAAACCCCCAAGAATGCCAAGTCAAAGCAGAAAGCAGAAGCAATGTTATCCCCCATCTCTGGCTCGTCATCCAAACAGAACAGAACACTCTCAAATGACCTGAAGAATGTAAATGGGGGATTCATATATACATATATACATAAATAATTCGCAATCAGGCTATAGATTTTTAAAACTCTTTTGGTCTGAAAGTTTTAAGCATAAACGTGTATGATGGCGAAGAGTAATCAGACCATTTGCTGTTACTTACAGGAGCAACACTGTTGATTCTTACTCCGCTGTGGGCCCACTCTAAAGCTAAAGTCTTGGTTAGGTTATTCACTGCAGCTCTTGCAGCTGCTGTGTGCCTGTGGAGAAAAGAAAACAAAAGAAGCATCTGCTCCCTCAGCTAACAGGGCCCAATCTTAATTCTATCACATCCTCTCTAGGGTAATCACAGTAGCTTCCTACGGCTGGATCAACCACCTGAGAGAGAGAGATGTTCTAGTGTGTAAGTGTGACCATAGCTTCACAGTTTGAACAAGCTGTGCTACGATCTCCTGTCATTTCTGGAAATGCTTGTTATCTCTTCACCAACACGACAGGAGGTCAGCTACATTACCCTGCAGGAGCAGGCTTGGAAAATGAAGAAACAGCTGGAGGCAAAGTTCATACTGTGTAAAACTCCAACAGGTAGGCTGCACAGGTAAAGCAGTACTTTTCCAGTGGTCTGAAAAATAGTTTAGATCTTCTGACAAACACAATTAAAATCAGCCACTATTCAAAACTTAACTATAGCTGGATGGAGATAGAGACAAGCATAGGCTGAGTGACCTCATGCACCTTGCTGGTGGAGGAAACTAGTCTGAAATGATTACAAGCTTCACAGAATCACAGAATCACAGAATGTTCGGGGTTGGAAGGGACCTCTGAAGATCATCTAGTCCAACCTTCATCCCAGCATACCTAACCACTACACCACAGCCTCAAGTGCTAGATCTACTTTTTTTTTAAACACCTCCAGGGTTGGTGACTCCACCACCTCCCTGGGCAGCCTGTTCCAGTGCCTCACCACTCGTTCAGTAAAGAACTTCCCCCGAATGTCCAATCTAAACTTACCCTGACGCAACTTGAGGCCATTTCCCCTTGTCCTGTCATTAGTAATTAGAGAGAAGAGACCAGCACCAGCCTCACTACAGCCTCCTTTTAGGTAGTTGTAGAGGGCAATAAGGTCTCCTCTCAGCCTCCTCTTCTCCAGACTAAACAAACCCAGTTCCCTCAGCCGCTCTTCATAGGGCATGTTTTCCAGACCTCTCACAAGCCTTGTTGCCCTTCTCTGCACCCACTCCAGCACCTCGATGTCCTTCTTGTACTGTGGTGACCAAAACTGGACACAGTACTCGAGGTGCGGTCTCACGAGTGCCGAGTACAGGGGCATGATCACCTCCCTCCTCCTGCTGGTCACACCATTTCTGATACAGCTTGAATAGATTTAGGTAAGATTACTGCAGCGATGAACAGAGGACACTGGGAGTCAGAGAAAACTAACAGACTTGAGTTCCTTTAGCCCAGAAAAACAGACTTAGAGGAGGTAGATACAATAGCTTCTCAAATACCAGAAAAAGAAGAAAAATTTAGGAAAAACATAAGACACTCCAACTTATTAGTGTGTTGAGGCCAAATAAAAAAAGTCCAGGCATACTGTGAGCAAATCATCCTGACTAGCTTTATGTTCAAAATTAATATTAATGAAAAAAACCGTATCATCTGATTTTTGGCATGAGTGGTGGCAAGTGTTTTTCAATAGTACATTTCTAAAATAAGTATCAGTTCAACAGGAATTTAATTTGAAAGTAGTTTTGTCTATTCATCTAAATCCACACATGACAGTTACTTGGGAAACTTTTTTCCACTATTATTCAGAATTATTTTTTTTTATCTCTTGGTTCAATTTTCAAACATAGCTTCAGGCTATTTGCTGTGACAATTCAACCACACTTAACCAGTGGGGAAACTCAAATAACTGTAGCTTCAGCACCACCCTGTGGATTTTGTACTGCCAAGATCAAGCTAGGGAGAAAATATTCTAACATTCTTTTAAAATCTTAAATTTTGAAAACTTTCAACTCTAAATAAGGACCAAGAGAGGTAATGTAACGTTTGTTCAAATTATATTTTTATATTTTCTTCAACAGAGATTTAATTTCTAAGTAAAAAAAAAGGTAGTTTCGAATGAGAAATTCAGATTTTTTCAATTAACAAACTGTCAAAATGCAGCATTTTGACAAATTTAACATTTCCTTTGAGAAGAAAATAACTGAAATTATTCCTTTTCTGAACACTATTTCTCTTTCAATGAATTAGAACTTTTTTGGAAAAAAGTTTCAAACTGGAAGACTCCTGCTCACCTCCATTTTGAGGCTAAAGAATTTAACAACTATAGCACACACCCAGATAAGGAGAGGATGATGCATTTTCATGCACTTGTGTCACTGTAAAAGAACTACAGGCGTGGTAATACGTTTGTACCCACGAGCTGATTTTTTTTGTACCCAGAACTGATTCTCTGCATCAGACACCTTCTCCGAGAAAGACGGGTACAAAGTAGAAGGAAAACGGGAAAGGCAGGGAATTAGGCAACCTGAAGGACAAAGCCCAAACCTGGTTACATACTGCAAATGTTCCTCCTGCTCCCCTGCTCCCAGTCCGACTCCCCTAACTCATGGCACCTGCAAGACCTGAAAGTTCACAGTACAAGGGGAAAAAAACAGGTGCCAAGTTCTTGCAAACCCTCCGGATATTTGGAGGGAGAGCAAGTAAAGGTTACGTTTCAGAGCAGCTACTCCCACTAGCAGATCATTTCCAGTGAAAGCTTCACTGGCAAGTCTTGCTTCATAGCTTCTTACAAACATGTTGACAGAGACCAGAGATGCCATTTGCTCCTGTTGTCTCTACTGAATTCAAGTAAGAAATCCCCTACACACAGCCAAGTGATACTATTGCTCTCTCTTGACCTACCTACCTTATTTCTGTGCTCTGCTGCTGCCCACTGCACACCTTTCTAAAATGAACTATCTAGGAACAATCAGTACTTCTAAGGGGTGAATACAGGAAAATGTAAAAATAAAATATGTATTACGACATTCCAGGAAACCCATTTCTGACGGCAGCAGTAATGTTGACAATGACTCCTCCATGTTCCTTCATCCAGGCATTGTACACTGTATGAAGGAGGAAGATAACCTATAAATATCAGAAGAAATGCACACAAAGGAACTTGCCAACTGGAAGCCCCATTTTGAGTCTTTGCTCCAATTATACTGCACATTTCCTGTGCAGATTTAGATAAACAATCGCCCTTTGTATCATCACCTCACCACTGGACTGGGGAGATAACAGATATGGTCTAAGTAAAGCTCAATGTTTGTCAAGAAGCCTTGTGGTGGAAATCAAGATTTCATGCTTCCATGTAAATTGCTTTCATTTCTACATTCCCAATACTATCTGAAAATCATGTATCATACTTAAATTTAACTTTAAATCTACATCCCTGATGAGGGAGAAATCTTTTCTTGTGTTACACACAGCAAATACAGGCCACAGAAGTGAAATGGTTTTCCTATAGTCTCTTAAGTGAGTATCAACTGACTCCCCAAACCTGGTCTTAACCAGAAGATCATACCTGCATAAACGTATGTTTGTGTATATGAACAAACAATTGAAAAAGCTTAATGTAAAGCTTTGGATGATATTCATGACAACAAATATCCACTGTCAGATAAGCATGTGAAAAAAAGGTAGGGAAACTTTACATTTCTTGTCTTCTAGTACTGCTGTAAAAAAAACAAAAGAAATAAACCAAAAAAAAGCTTAATACTGAGTGCTTACCTGCTTTGCAGCAGTAGAAGGTCCCTGTGAGATTCGTGTCTATTACAGCATTCCAACCTTTGGCACGGATGGCCTCAGAAGGACTTGCAAATTGACCCCCTCCATTATTGACCAGGAAGTCAATCTTCCCATGCAGACTCAGCGTGGACTTCACTAAAGCTTCTACCTGAAACAGTATTTGTTAGTGTGGTGTGCTGAATAAGCTGCATATCCTATTTCATTTTCAGACAGTATTTTCTCTCTCTCGTATCCTTTTCACACATAAAGAGGAGGTACCAGCCTTCAGAGAGTCTGGAAGATTGGTGTCACGGGTTTACTCAGCCAAGAAGAACAGGACTGAGTCTGTGTTTACTTAGGAAATCTTCCTGGTATGATGAGGTGCTACATAAAATACCAGCACAGAACAAAGAAGGAGATTTAAGCCGCTAAAGGTTTGTGAAAACAAACACACACAAAAGCCTGCTACTGAAGCTACTGCTCCTAAGAATCTCCCGACATTTTTCACAAGGGTGAGGGTGTTCACATCAGATGTAAGGGAGCTACTTTTGTTTCATTTGACACATATATCTGAGCATTTTAAAGAGAAAACATTAAGTCATCTTGTGAAGTTTTAACATTCTTATCTAGAAGTGTTGTACATTCCCTAAAACTTTGTACATATGAGTTGCCAACAGCCAGTCTTCTCCTGCGGACCTAGAAAGTTAGTTTGTTACTCTGTCTAAAAAATGCTGGAAAAATTATAAACTGCCTTCTTTAGCAAAAGAAAGGTGGGAATATTTGACTACGCAGATACCTCCTGTCTATAAGCAGGATGAATATTTACAATCAGGAGCACTGTCTGGCGCTATTTATCTTTGGCTACTCTAATTGGTTACTGACAGCAAATAGCAATAGACATTTTATTCACTCATTCGGAGAGCTGACAGTGCAGAAAAAGAGTGGCCTAAGGTCATATGGAAGGAAAGAGATCCTGCAAATCTAAACCTAGCTCTAGCACTGACCCAACCTGAACTACAGGCTGTAAGCTAAGCCTTTTGCATTGTCTTCTGTTTTGTAAGTAGAGCAGTTTCACCACCCACAGTAAACACAGGAGAACTTCTGGAGGGGATTGTACTTCAAAGCAATCAAAGATTTTACAGTTCCCATTACAAGACGGTAATAAGAACTCTATAGCAACTACTTAATAATTTAACCTTTATCTCAATGGAAATGGAACAACAAGACCATTTCCTGCTTATATTACCTATCATAAGTAGATATAATGCATCAGTTATTCCTACTCAAGTGTATATAAAAAGTTAATCTAACATCTGTGGTCAAAGAAAACACAGACTGGAAAAACCCCTCAAAACAAACAGCGGGAGCAATGCTGCTGCTGGAATGGAGTTGACTAGGGGAGGCACACCTATCAGCCTTCTTCTCTACTGAGTTAGCAGTAGAAAACATCAGAAATAAAAGAAGTAATGCACGATCCGTATCCCACCAAGAGCATGACAAACTCAGCCTCATAACTAGCTGCTTTTGCTGCTAACAGTTAAGGATGGTTTAACAGTACAGTGCAGGTCCTGTAACAATGCAGCTCTTTGAAGAAGAAAACCTAAATAAACATATAGTGAATGAAGCCTGAATGAAAAACTAATGCCTGATGAGAAAAAATGCCTTAAGAAAATAATTTTGGTACTTAAATCACCATCTCTAAGTTCTGAATGTCATCTTATTCCTCACATCAGTCACTGCAGCTTGTTGGATCTGAAGGAAAAAAGCACCAAAATACGAAAAGATCCCTGATAGCAATCCCAAACCCATGACTTGTGAGAACCACTATGCCACAAGTCTTCCAGGATTGCTCACAACCAGAGAAAAGTTATGTCTCACTAGGCAGCACAGTTGTGCTTTGCTCAGCAATATCAAACTCTTCTCCCTGTCAGCCCAGAATGTTGCTTTGAATACTGTTCTTTTTAAGTCTCTGAAGTATGAGCTCATTTATGGAAGTGTAATGGTTTCAGTGCGAGGAGTTAGAACAAAATACTCAGGCCTTAATTCAACTCAAAATGGTTGGCACGTCGTATCTTAAGAAACTCTGTTGTTGTGCCTACTCCTTGCACAATATTCTCAGGGCAATAAAAACGTCCAGAAACGCCTATCGGTTCTGCTCTCTGAAAGGCAGCAAAGGCGAGCAGGCTCTCCACTGCCAGCTCGAACGGCTCCGCTGTAGGAATCTGCACCAAGTCTCCTGTGCTGCAGGGAAAGCACCTTGTCACGCACCTCCCCACTAGAGTGCACAGGGTGACAGCAGCCACCAGCAGGGTGGGAAAGAGGGTCTGGCAGAACACATCCAAATCATGGCGAGCACTAAAGACGACTCCCTTCTATTCTTAGATAGTCAAAATCCACACAGAAAGAACTTCATTAAAAAAAGCTACTAAAGCCCTCTCTTGAAGCAAAGCAAAACTGCACGGGGTAGAGCTAATGTTATAGGATGTTCTTCCAAAAAAGACAGAAAGGAACAAAATCAGGCACTTCAGAGCTAACCAAAAGGCTCAGCTCTTCAATAAGGACCTTTGTGTGTGACCGCATCTCAAAAGCGTTATACAGTAGCACACCTGCACAGGTAACCGAGATGACAGTACTTGCTGACACAAGGACGTGTTCACAGGTCACCCTGAACTTGTGGTGAACAGGCAACAGGCAATCTACCCACCAAGGAGCGTCAGATTTGCTTTTTGGGGACTACAACTAGTAGGCGTTCTTGCACAGTGACAACAGGTATTTTAATTTTGTGTTACTACTGTGTAATTTTCAAGTACCACAGGAATCTCTGATCCACAGCTTCCCACCAAGCCACGGTCTTCCACTACAGGCTTCACACAGAGTTTTTATAAACCAGTTGAGATTGTGCTAAGCTATACAGTTTATTGCAAATGCCACTAGTGAACTCAGACACACAGTTAAGTACTAAACAGTGCTCTGCTGAGTCTGTCTCAAAAAGTCTGGCCTGTCAGATGTTCAGGTGATAGTTTTACCCTCAGGGTCTGGTCCAGCAGCAGTTGTTGTTGCTGGAGCTAGAGCAAGGAAAGGGGACACTGTGCACAGAATTCTGAATTTCTGATTTCAAGAAGAGTAGTGGCTTACTAGAAGTACAAAGTTTATCTTCCACTTACCTAGAAGTGTCTTCTGCTTATCTAGATGCCAGTTAAAGAAACGTTTGTCCAGAGCACATAGCATAAAGCCTTTACAAGGCTAAAAAGTTTCTCATATCTTTCTCTCTCCCATCAATAGATTTGCTGTAGCTCAACATTTAAGACAGACAAACACACACTTCCCTTTCCCAACACCTACAAAGGTAAATAGAAAGCTCTTTTCACAGTGGAAAAAGGATGGTGTCTCTCCCCTCCACTCTGGCCACCATTACCTTGAGGCGCTGGAATTGATTAATTAGATCTTTGAATTTTAGAAGCAGAGCTTGGTTTGAAAACACACACACACACACACACACACACACACAGCTGCATCTCAGCAAGAGCAAACCGACCTACTCATGTCACATTCAACACATTATGTGGGCAGGGCTGGAAAATATCCAAATAAGTAAAATCACTTCAGCTAAAAAGCAATATGGATCACCACATACACTCCAGGCCACAGGTTAAGGGACAGATCGCACAATCACTGCTTCAGGATAAGGACCCAGGAAGACAGAAACCCCCGGTGCTCTTACTGGCATCCCAGAACCCTCTACTCTCCCGCCTTTACAAACAAACCAGTTCTGTTATCCTCTACAAAACACGCAATGGAAAACTAGTCAAAAGCAGCAGCAGCAAACTCGTGACAGAAATAAGCCTGACAGGTTATGCAGGGGTTCAAAATCCTCCATCATGCAAGATTACTTCTTGCAAATTAAACAAAAAGTAAGTTTTGCTAGAAAGCAAGAAGGCCTCTGAGGATGAAGATTAAGAGACTTAAAAATGCGGATTCATTAAGCTATTCCCGGGATATCTGCCATCAAGCTTCTGCAGCAATTAATTCACTGCACCTGCTCTGACTCTTTCTAGGCTAGAAAGAGCTCTAACAGACATACTGCACTATGTGATTAGGGATGAATCTGAATTTCACAGATCCAAACTAGGGCACACAAGAGGAATGAGCTGTGTCGTCTTCAAAGCAGGTCAGTTACTTGAAGATTTGCAATAGGAAGCAAAAAAAAATTGTATCATATGGCAATTTTGAAAGCACTTTCATCTTTTTTAGATCTCCCCATTCGAAGTCCCTCCTTCCAGTTTGCCTGATGATAAAATTAAAACCAGGACAAAACCCACAGGGGCCTTTAGAGAAATGCAGAACAACTGATGGAGACGGTGAGATGAAAAAAAAAGGAAAGCATGCAACAGTAAAGAACAGATGGCTTGTTCCTACAGGTGATCACGGTGACTTCCTTTAAGAGACAAACTTACTCTTAGAAAGGTTTCAAAAGAGGATCCCCTAAATGAATTATGTAGTTCTTCAGGAAGCTTCCTGGGCTTTGGAGCTTGTGATGGATCAGTTCCGACATCTAAGGAGGCTTGAACTCCCAAGTTTTTTTCCCTTGTTGAAACATTTATAAGGTTTTTCTCCTTCACAGATTCTTTGGTAGTTGGTATAAGAACGGAGAAAAAGGATGTAATGACTCACAGGGAATACTTGTAGAGCTTGTGCTCTCTACCCCACAATGTGCTTTCATGAATTTCTGAGGTAAATACCCTTCACTCATATTAAGCTGAAACCAGACAATGTGCTGTAAAGTTATTAATGAGTAGCACAGACCAAACACAGTTGTACAAGTCTTGTTTCTTCTGGGCGAGATGCCAAAAGTTTAAATGCCTTTGCACCCCATCTTCCACTGTAAATAAGAAGCAACCCCCGTATTTGTGAAAATGCTCAAGTGAGCTATGCTGCTGTGTTGCCTCTACTCAGGATTTACCTCCTAGGCTGGAAAAGTCCTTCACTACATCTGTTGCTGATCCTTGTTCCTGAGACTCCAACTCCCAGGCATTAAATTTTAGGTTAAGGATGGAACAGGTTTTGAAAGTGGATGTATGACGCTCTTTGAATAGAAGTAAAAGCCTAAAGGTACTTTTCCTCTAGCATCCACAAGGCAATCAGATGCAAATCAGAGAAAAGTATTCACCATTTCTGCTCTTAACAAATACAATAAATAAGCAATAGTTAGAAACAGGTTGTGGAATATCTGCCACATCCCTCAGTTCTGACTGTTTTTAGCAGTCTAAATTACCAACTGTTAACATGAGTTTATCTAACTTCAGTTTACAACCACTAAGCACCTAAGTGTAAGGAAGTGCTATCCTCACTACAAATTAAAAAGTCAAAAATGTGATCCACACATTTCTGGTCCAACAGTAATTTTAGAAATGAAGTAACTACTTTCAAGCTAGGCTTTACAGCAGCTGGAGAAGTGAAGTGAGTCAAACTGTAAGACTGAGTCAATGATTGAAAAATTCAAGAATGGAATTGAAGTTTACCTTATTCCTCTGAATGATCTCTTTAGTAGGTATGGATATGAAACGACAATGGTTTATAAGGACTTCCACTGGCGGGAGACATCTGACAGAGGCTTCTCCAATATAGTACAAAAAATTCTAAGAAAGTTCTGGTGTGTTTGTAAAGTACTTAAAACTAAACCAGAAGCAAGACAATTCTATGATGAAACTGCAGAGTAACAGCAAAGACACAAGTTTCTCCAAGTACCAGCACGGCTACTGGTAACACAGGATAATGCCTAAGCACTTCGCACAGCACTATAAAAGAAGCTTTAAAAGCACCTTCAAAGAAAGTTTCCAAAACCATCTAAGATGGTTTTGTGAAATATGTATCTAGCCACACTTAAGAAACAGGAAACAAAGACAGAATCATAGTTTATTCAGTGGAGATTACCTCATTTCACCATTCAAGCCCTCTACTACCTCACAGAACACTGCAGTTCCCACTAAACCATTTTTTAACTGATTCAGAAATAAGATTCACCTGCAGAAGCATGCCAGAATACTTTCTGCAAGAACAGTGACATGAAAGAAGGCTTAAGCCTTTTCTCTCTCTTTACTTCTTTTCTCTCCTATAGCTTTAATCATGTAAGTTGCCCTCTGACATCTGTCATAACCTATTATATCGCACCGCTGATGCTGGTAAATACAAACCTCAAATTCAGTCATAGGTGAAGTGCCGTACTGCACAGCCCCAGGGTTCTTCTCCTTCAGAACAGAAAGCCTAAGTACACCACTATAAATATTTTATGGCACGAGCTGTTCTGTGAGGGAAGAACTTTTTTTCTAATTTGCTTTATAGTTGCGTATTAGGCTATTTCCAGAACATACAGAGCTGGTAAAGGTCATTAATACCTTTTAAAATTACGCTAGAATTTAACAGAGACTTCGAAAGGTTAAGAAAAATGTAGCAAATTGTTGTTACTGGAATATTTTCTAGCCGTCTTCAATAAGTTAAAAGTCCAACTTCATGATGGTCTTTTAAATTTTTAATTACACAGGTTGAAAAACTAGGAGGTGAATATAGACTTGTGAAGAACCTGGATTCAACGCTTTTGCTCTTGATCTTCAATTTTTTTTGCAATATGAAGAAAAGAGAAAAAAAAATCAACTGGGGTAGTAACAGAATTTGTGATGAGGTAGGCCTCAAAATGTAACCAAAATTTGAAACATAGCTAAAAATAGTAAGATCTGTGGGTTTTTTTTGTTTTACTGCCAGCGAAACTGGCAATGCAGGGCACTTGCATCAAGTCACAAGCATTGACATTCCAAGCTATGACTTCCTGTTTGAAGGAACTATTCTGAGGTCTCCGTCTTCACAAGTTACCACCCCCTCACTGCTGTCACAGAATCACGACACAGAGCCACGCTAAGAGGGGTCTGAACATGTCAATTCCTGCCCCCAGAAACAGCTGACGTATGCACGGTCAGAAAAATACGTGCGATTACAAATGCTCTCTTGCTTAGATGGCCAGACCTCGGAGTCCTAGTGGACAGTGAGTTGTCCCTGGGACAGCAATGGGCCCTTGTGGCCCAGAGGGCCAATGGGATCCCGGGGTGCATTAAAAGTGTGTCCAGCAGGTCTAGGGAAGTTCTCCTGCCCCTCTACTCTGCCCTGGTGAGACCACACCTGGAATATTGTGTCTAGTTTTGGGCTCTCCAATTCGAGAGAGACAGGGACCTACTGGAGAGAGTCGAATGGAGAGCTACGAGGATGATTCAGGGACTTGAATATCTCTCCTATGAAGAGAGACTGAGAGAACTGGGGCTGTTTAGCCTTGAAACAAGACAGCTGAGAGGGGATCTTGAAGAGGGTCCCTTGTCGGAGAGCCGCCGGGTAACGACAATCACACCGATGCGGTTACATGCCGTTCCATCCTTATTGCTCCAAATAGCCCAACATATATACCGTTAATACAATATGCTTTATGTTTGCACGCCAAGCACAAGCTACAGTAAGCTTAGTTTTTGATTATTGTTATCAATCCTTGTGGGTGTTAGATGCCCTTGCTGCAGTTAGAACATCCTGATGTACATTCTGCAAAGTTCTGGCAGATACAACTTTGTTACCTCTTTAAGCTTCAAGGTGACTCTATGAACAGAGCATTGTTCAAGGTCCAAACTGGATTGTCCAAACTTTCTAAGGGTATCCCGTGCCCTTGTTCTGTAAGGAATTCCCCTACAGGATCTCATTAATGTATATTAATATCTGAGGGGTGGGTGTCAAGAGGAAGGGGACAATCTCTTCTCAGTGGTGCCCAGCAGCAGAACAAGAAATAATGGGTTTAAGTTAGAACATAGGAAGTTCCACCTCAACATGAGGAGAAACTTCTGTACTGTGAGGGTGACAGAGCCCTGGCACAGGCTGCCCAGAGAGGTTGTGGAGTCTCCTTCTCTGGAGACTTTCAAACCCCACCTGGACGCGTTCCTGTGTGGCTGCCTTACGGGATCGTGCTCTACCCCACCTGGACGCGTTCCTGTGTGGCTGCCTTACGGGATCGTGCTCTGGCAGCGGGGTTGGACTAGACGATGCCTAGAGATCCCTTCCAACCCCGAACATTCTATGATTCTCACAAATGGTCTTCCCTCGGAAGGCATATCTTTACCTAGATCAATTTAACAGAATTTTATTGTGCCTGCCCCCTGATCTAAGACACTTCCGAGCAGGCCAGAAAAGACCTTCGGAGATCTGAACTTACATATGCACCACGCTTCTCATATGTTAAGCCCCAGAACAAGATCATCAGTCTTTACCTCATCTTCTTTGCGAATATTGCACTGTATGGGAGTCACTTTGGCAGGACTCACTGAAGAAAATGTATTATTCAATTCTTCTGCAGCAGCTTTTAATCGGTCAAATTTACGAGAGGCAATAACAACACTGCAACCTGTAGAGACAAAATGAAACGTTCCTCAGCTAACATATTTAAAATTCCAGTTGTGCTATTTTTTAATAACATCACAGAGCTGTGTGTAGAATGTGAGCTTTTTAGTCACTACCTAGAAGATACAGTGTTGAAGTTCTTGCAAGAGGGAGAAATGACTGCTATCAAGTGCCTCTTAGCAACAAGATCCCACTGTGCCAGTAAAAGAGCAACTAAAAAAATGTCCACAAGGTTCCCCCTCCTTTCCGCAGGAGAGAATACAGCCTGGGAGTTGCAGAGTCAGCAAAATAGGTTTCAGACATCACTTCTGCTGCCTCTGCTCACAGCTGCCTCATTTATCAATTATACGATTCAAAGGCGTTTCGGCAGGTCTTGATTACACAAAAATGCTTGCTCCTAAAACCACAAAAATAAATCTTTCTGTATGTCTAGTTATAATTTTGACTAGTGGTGAGCAAATGTAATGCTCTGCTTATTAACCCTACAGAGTCTGAAGGAAAGGACGATAACGGGATTAATTCCTGCCAGCAGACTACAGACAGCAAGAACAAAAGCTTCCCTGTGGCACCACCACACACTGCAGAATCCTGGCACAGAGAGGAAATAAACTAAGCAGGAGCTTCAACCTTATGGTTTTTGGTTGGTTTTTTTTTTTCCAGCATTCGGAGGCAGAAAGACGCTTTCTAAAGAGAAAAACAACGCAAGTCCCAAATTAACGGCAAGCACTCGCACCACAACCAGCCTAGTTTCTTCCGTAACACCAGCAGACTCAGGACAGCTTTAGGACTGCAGCAATTAGAACTGCACAGACTAAACCAGACCACACACCAAATTAATTCCTAGTGCAAATCCACCAGGCATGCAATTTCATATTACAGATAAGTAAATTACTTGCTTCCACTGCCAAGCAGGCAAGGAGGTCTTGTTCTCAGTTCCCCCCTTCCATAATCTCAGCATCCCAGTAGAAGCCATCCCTTCCTAATAGCAGCTCTGCTGCTCATCTGCTTTAACATAAACCAATTCAACACACTCAACCAGCCAAAGCAAAAAAATAAAGTTAACATTTTGCCAGGTGTTTCTTTTCTTTTCTTTGTTGCTATTTTATTGAGTGGAATTTGGCCTCTCGTGATCAAACAAATACCAGAATCAACTCAAAATAACTAGTGGGAGTAAAGTGCAGCAAGCTGTTCATTTGGCTCAGGCTGTCTTGTGAAACTATACATAAAACAAAAAAAAAAACAAATTAAAAAACCCAGGAGCTGAATTCTTCCAGAAAGAAGTGCTGCAACTACAGATCCCTAGGAATGGGAGCCTCACCTTCAAGCAGTGGCAATCTTAAAAGAACACTTACAAAGGGATAAGTCTCTGAGGTCTCCCAATTCTGTAAACTAAGAATTCCATTCACTTGCACAACCACCAGAGCTCATGAAATGGCACACGCACTTATGGACTAACACAAAGCACAGTTATATTTATCAACTTAAGTGCTTAATAATACAGGCACTGACACAGAATGAGGTCCAGTAAGAGTGTATTTTTGCTAAATATGCAAACTGGGGGAGATTCTAACTCACTGAGGAACAGCTGGTACCTACTGTACAAGCTGACACTACTTACCCTTCTTCACAAAGAATGACCAGACCATTTCCTGATAGGATCAAGGTGAAAAGGGCACAAGTTTCCAAATGAGAGGTTTAAATGTGCCCGGAAGCTTCTGAGGTTATATAAACAATGTACATCATGACTGGCACTATCTGTCACTGCTCCTACAGGCATTCCCTGTCCAGCCAGCCCCCTTCCAAAAAAATACAACAAAATAATAAAGTGCAAAGTATATATGGAAATAGGTCATAGTCATTTTTGGTCAGGAGTAGCGAGTCTGCAGGTAAGGAAGGTTACTCAGGCTTAAGCAACAGCTTTCTTCATTTTCTCACATGTGCTTTGCATCCTTGTGTTCTATTTAGGATGTAATGGACACACACTCTTGTTGTGTTTCACATGAGAAAGATAACAGTGTGATTTGATCTGCATTAAGGTAACGGGGTGACATCAAGCAGCAGTGTGATGATGCTTAAAAAGCATCTCTCTAAAGCAGCATGTACGGATATTTGAAAAAAAGACGCCCAGTTCCCCAGTAATGTAAAGGCAGAACTAGCCCTCACACCAGCTCCACCGAGCAGATGGCCAGAGGAGGCTGAGGTGTCTCCCAGCCACGCCAGGAACTGCCACGGGCACGTTGCGTGACGCCGGGCTGGTGCTTTTAACGGTGTCTGAAACCCCACCTGATGCCCTTGGTCCCTGGCACTTGTGCTGAAATCTGCAGGGATGGATGGCGCAGAGGCCGCTCTTCACTCCTGCTTTTACTTTTATCTCACCAGCACGGCAACAAACCCCCCAGAGCAGGCGCTGAAGATACACTTTGAACTTGAGGCAATTCCTAGCACAAGCACGAAGGGAGAAGCAGCGCTTCTCCACAGTTCAAAACCATTCTCCTCCATCCGGCTCGGTCCAACCACCAGGCAACTCACAGAATCACAGAATGTTCAGGGTTGGAAGGGACCTCAAAAGGTCATCTAGCCCAGCCCCCTGCCAGAGCAGGATCACCTAGATGATGTTACACAGGAACATGTCCAGGTG